GTAATCTAGTTCCCAGAGTCATGGTATAGAATCTATCCCAAAGTTCTCTTGCTTCTTCTGTGTCCATATGTTTGATCTTTTCTATTCCGTTCACGTCTACAATTTCTCTAAATGTTTGTCTTAATGATAATAAATTATTTCGGTGTTCTTTCTTTAGTAGCCTTATAACGTTGGTGAATTCTTCTTCCTTTTTTTTATTGTCAGGCTTAGATGTACTCATAAGGATGCTAATATAATCATAGTATTGCTGAGTGAATTTCTTAAAAGTAGGCATAGAAGTGAATGCCTGAGGCACCAAAGGCGATTGAAGTATGTTGAGTGTTTGAGATAGACGTATGGGTAACTCGGCATGAAGAAATTGAGCAGGTATAAGATATCTTCCTGGGGAGGAGGAATCCAATACATGACGACCTATAGTATATAGTTGAGAAAGAGAGACGCGAGTAGGGCGCTGGATTGATAGTTTCGTAAGTGCTTCACGAGGAACAGCGCGTATTACGGATGTCGGGACTGGGGCCATGTCGACTAAGAGTTGGGAGGAGAGAAGATAATTGATTTGAAAATATGAAAAGTTTTGCTACACAATGAACAATGTTGCGCGAATGTCTTTCGTTGGAGGTTTTCTGATGTTTGGGTGTGTTATATATATATATATATGTTTAGCCGTGTACGGGTATGACGTTATTCGTGCATAATAGTATAATAATATACAATATCAATATATTATGGTGCGCCACTTCATCGTCATTGGCCCCGAATGAATAACAAGACTTGCAAAAAAAAAAGATAACCTATTTTGCTCAGAACAAAACCGGTTTATACTATTTATATTTTAATCATATGAGTCATATCTCAAAAGCGAGACGCTGAAAGCTCGCCTTGGGATAATAATGATGTTCAAGTGTGGATGAACGCATGATTAATATGCCAAGGAGGGTTAATTCAAGTAAATGCACCCCTGATTTCGATGGCTCTTCAGGGGTAATTAATTCGATTACCACACTAATTTTAGGGGTATTTGGACGTTGTAATTTGATGAGAGTATAGTTTATTCACACTTCACTCTATTAGCGAGTGAATAATAAGGACCTGATGTTAACGAAAGATTCAATAATCAATGAACCTTGATGACGCGTCCGATATAATACTCTAAAGGCATGCACAATTGCTCTGGACAAATAGAGGTATTCACGAAAAGTGAATCGCTGACATATTCCGCTATTTGCTCAGCCCTATTTTGAAAACTTGTGATACGTTGACCAGTATCGTTTCTCTGGCAGCTATTCATTCGGCAATGCTTGAACGACTGTGATATGAATGCAATAGTTTTAAACTGCGATAAGTTTAATTGTCGCATAATACATAATTTATTTACATCGAACTTGTTCGACTATCAGACGAGAGCAAATACATATTCTCGTTTTTAACATGCTATTACGAGAGAATTCTTTATCGTAGTTCAATAACTGCAGATTGACAGACAATCAACACAGACAATCAGTTTCGATGTACATACTTTTTAGAAGCGGTGGCAATCGAATAAATTTTCAACTCTAAACTTTCTAGAACAAACTATACAAATCTTGAAATATTGGTGCATCGGAGTAACACATGATGAGTATAAGCAGAATAATATTAAGAAGCGAGTAAGCCTTCAATTCAACTGGGTTGCTTATCTTGAGATTTAGTGAATTTGCATTCCGTGAGAACAACTTTTTGTAACATTGTTACGAAGAGTGTACATAGAGTGGCCTCTTCCCTTTGAAAAACCTGACACTGAATTGAGCCTGTGTGCCACAAATTAATTCGTGATGCTTCAAAGTTCGAACCCCAAAAATCTTGGAAGATAGTGCTACCACTGAGACACAGTCAAGGTAACCATGTTCAATTGCCTTAACTAAACAAACCAAAAAAGCATGAAGAATACATAT